AAACGATCAAAACAAAGCATGTCTCCAATTCATTGCAGGGTATATCTTGCCGGCGAGCGAGCGTCCTGAAACTTGGTTTGTTTAGGCGTGATTATATAATTATACCGATCAATGGCAGTTCATGTTAAAATTTGTTCTGAATACATGCGTTGTTATAAAAAATTGCTTCAAACGTCGAATTCAGTTTATGTATAAGATTTGCTGACTAAAAATACTCGTAACTCGTTCTCGTAATTATTATTATACAAACGTCTGAATTGAAACTCTTTTCCGGTTCTTAATATTGTCCGGTTGGCGGTGATCTGTCTACTTTTTCCCGCATTTATACACAAAAGAGACGGAAGAACGCTCTCGTTCATTTCTATTTAACCAGTCATGTCCAGATATTTAATAACACTCGACATTATGCGGAACGGCTGTCATATGGACATGTATTAAAGCGAGTGCTGCCTTGTAGGCATATGCACATGCAAAAGTTTTAATAATTTACTTGTTCGTCCAGGATTGTCGATTGTATCCTTTTAAGCTTTCTTTACGCTGGACATTCTGGACAGCTGGCGCATGGGCACCAGATATTATATAATCAGTGATATCAACATAATTGCAAAATACATCATTGTAACCATGCAGTGCATGTAGTCCCAGAGTAAACACGAGATTTGTGATCAGAAACTTGCAGATATCATTGAGAATAGACAATATTATACTGCTCAAGCCAGAGAAAATCGTTCCTTATCAACATTCCAACATAGAGTATTCGAAACTTTAGGTGCCATTTGCATAATTATAGTCCCAGAATAAACACGTGATTTGCAATTTGAAATTTAGCGGACGATGGACCAAGAGCAGACAATATTGTCAGGGGCGTAGCGTCCGGTGGATGTCGGAGGGGCTACACCCCCGCAGTTTTCGTCAGGTGGTCAGCTGATTCTCATATGTCACCGACGGTCGGGAATGGCTATTGTCGGTGATCACTGGAGAATAAAATGCTTTGTTATTTTATATACAATACAATACGTTACAATAAATTTTATTTAAACACGATACAAATTAAAGCAAAGCTTGTGGGGTCGTGTGTTTACCTATTACATACAAAGACAAAAGAGACTATTGTACACTATTATATACTATTATATACACATATCAATAATATCTGAAACAGCCATCTCGCCTACGTGCGGTTTGCACAGATTGCGTTTCAAAATTTATAAACTTTAGTATGTCTTTTTCCTTGATCATCTTAATAAAGGTGGTAATATTTGGTTCAGGATCATTAAATTCCATGGATATCGCATTCCATATGACAGAGCTCCTGTAGGAAATTGAGTTCTTCATATAGTATGTGTTAAATCGCGGCACATTAACCTTGTGTGCGTTACGTAAACTATACTTATTTGTTGTTTTTGTAATTATGTGAGTCATGCTAGCAGGAGTAATATTGTTATATATCTTATAGGCTAGTTGTGCCAATCTTAACTTATAAATTTGAGTAAGTGAATCCCATTTCACCTTCTCCATGACCTCAATGGTAGGCATATCACATGATAGTCGAAATATGGTTCTTGCAGCTCTACAATGTAGGGATTCGAGGGAAAGAAACCCCTCTTTATTGGCACAGCCACCCCAAACTGTCATCGCGTATGTTATAGACGGTAGGATAATCTTAAAGTACAGATCTAGGAGCATTTGCTTTGGTAAAAATAGGCTGCATTTTATCATATTCAGCTTGTTTGCAAATCCTTTTTTTATTTCCAGTATGTGTGATTTCCATGTTAATTTATCATCGATCGTAACTCCCAGCAACCTTGAGTGAGTCACCCACTTTATTTCATGTGCTCCAAGCGTGAGTGTATTTAATGGGCCTATCACGTTTCCCCTGGTCATTATCATAGCTTCACACTTCCTCGGATGGGGTGTTAAGGAATTTTGTTGGCACCAGTTCATCAGTTGACTGAGAGCTTTATTGAGCATTGAAGTTACTTCATCAATTGTCTGAGCGATGCAGTACAATGTTGTATCGTCTGCATACATAAAAACGGTACCATGGTCCACAGCATCGGGTAAATCGTTCGTATACAGAGTGAATAGGGTCGGTCCAAGGACAGATCCCTGAGGAATACCATAAGTTACTTCTGCGTAGTCTGATTTGCTTCTATTAACAGTGGTAAATTGTTTTCTCTCAGTGAGGTAGTCTTTTAACCAGGCCAAGAGTTCCCCTTTAATACCAAAATTATGTTCCAATTTATGTGTCAAAATCTTATGTGATATGCTGTCGAATGCTTTCTGAAAGTCAATGAACACGACTCCTACTACTAACTTGGAATCAATTGCTTGTCTCCATGTTTCAGTTAAGTGGGCAAGCAATAGTTCCGTAGAATGTCCTTTGCGATAGGCCCATTGTTTATCTGTGACAAGCTGGTTATCTATGAAGGCATGTTTAACTAGAGTGTCAGCAACGCATGATTCTAATACTTTACTAGGTACACTTAATATAGACAGCGGTCGGTAATTTTCTCTTTCGGTTTCGTCATCTTTCTTATAGATAGCATTTAATCTAGCTATTTTCCAGTGGTTGTAAACTGTACCTGTGTTTACACTTCGCGTGTATAGGTTGGTCAGAGGTGTTACCACAGCTGTTCCTGCCAGCTTTAAGAGCTTAGGGGAGATATCATCTGGTCCAGTTGCTTTTGCAGGGTTCAGCATAGCAATCTTTCTACCAACCTCGCTTGTCGTTATCTGAACTTCTGATATGCACACCGTTGATGTCATTTGTGTGCTGGGTACTGGGTGTAATTCGATGTTCCTCGCTAACTTCTCACCAATCGAGGAGAAGAAGCAATTCATCATATTAGCTTTTTCGTTGTCATCTACAGCAAGACTACCATCGTCTCGTTTTAAAGGGCCGATAGCTTTCCTTTCTTTAGGTTTGGTGGCTTTTGCAAGCAGATTCCAATATGCTTTAGTGGTAGTGACTTCGTCTAGTTTCTTTTGGAAATATGCAGCTTTGGCTTCTCTGATATCAGATGTCACTTCATTCCTCAATTTCTTATAATTCGCCCATTTCTCGCTATCCTTTGTTTCTATCGCGATTTTGAACATTTTGTACCTGCGATTCATCTTCTGTTTAATCTGGTTGTTTACCCATGGAGATGATACAGACCGCACTTTTACATCTGTATGTGGTGCGTGAGTGTCACAGACATCGTTGAACAATTTTTCCCATGCCCAGAGAACATCGTCATTATTATCGAATATGGTTGAGATATGAAAAGGCGTTCGCTCGAGATCAGCCCTAAAATTTTCCACATTAAAGCGTTTAAAGTTCCTAGTACGTATGATTTTCGGAGGCGGCCTCTTTCTTTTTAGTTTTAGTGTGGCATAAACTAGGTTATGATCCGATAAACCCAGTTGTAAGACCCCAGATCTCCTCACGAGATCCGGTTGTGTTGTGACAATTAAGTCAATTAATGTTTTTGTTGTTATTGTCACGCGAGTTGGTTCACTGATAATATTTTGCATATTAAATGAGTCAAATATGTTCAACAGATTTCTAGTTTTCGCTGGGATATCAGTTCTTTCTTCATTTAAGTCAAGCAAATTACAGTTAAAGTCTCCAATGAGAAAGATATTACTAGTCTTCAACCAAGCTTTTTCGATTACCTCATGCAAGTTCTCGAAGAAATTAGGCGCTTCCAATTCTGATCTGTACACAACCGAAAATAGTGGGCTGCTTGTCGGGAATTTAACTTGGATCCAAATTGCTTCGAAGTTGCTTTTAGTTAGATCTCTTCTTTGAATAACTTTTAGGTGTTCAGCATAGTATAAAATACAACCCCCACCTCCGCATTTCACTCTATCTCTGCGTATAAATTTTAGCCCGTCTATGTTCAGGTTTTGATCGTTTATACTTGGGTTTAAATGGGTCTCAGTTATTCCAAGTATATCAAACTTACATATACTTTGCAGCAGTCTTAGCTCATCCATCTTATTTCTGAGGCTACAAATATTTAAGTGCCCGACTCTCAAGTCCTTGGGGGCAGCACTAAGCTCGCAAGCTATATCATGAATGTAGTCATGATTTATTATCTCACCGCACACCGGTGGTTCGTCGCACAACGGTGGTTCTGTGTTGTTTACATTTAAGTCAGGAGATGATTGCCATTCGTTTTCAATGTTTTCGTTTAGAAACGGCAGCGAGCAGAGCGAGCATATCCAATCAATATCGGGATTGTCTAGATAATATTTAAATGTATCTTTAGACATACCCATGCACCTAGCGTGTGTCCAGATATTACATCTATCACACAATATGGCGTCTTGGTTGTTGCGGACAGCTTTATGACATTCCTTGCATGGATGTTTGATAGTTCTTTTCCCATTAGGTCCAGGGTTAGACTGAATGTCTCCACACAAGATAAGGCGATTAATTTGAAAGGTGCTTGTCCCTTTCGTGTTGTGTGGAACTCTAGCGTTTGAGTAAGATCTGCCACGTCTACAATGAATTCTCCAGTCGGCTAAATGATTCACAGCATTTTTATCGATTAATATCGTAAGCCAAGTCTCATTTTGTGAGCAGCTTGTTGAATCACATGTATCAGATCCATTACAGTCCAATTTAGGATCCGTTATAGCAATAACTGCTATCATAAATAGCAATAATTGGGAGCTCCGTAGTAGACATCCGAGCGCCATTACGCGAGTCTATATAAATTTTCTTCGTGAACGACCGCAATCAAAACATCGTCGAACATCGGTGACGTCTGTGATGCTACAGTGTAAGCCAGTTGTTAATTATAATGTTTATATATACTGTAGATAGTTATTTTTAAAGCTATTTATTTTAATTTACAAATGATACAATAATTAAACCTTGCACCAACCGAGCAAAAGGCTGTATGCTTTCTTTACAGGAGCTTCAAGTGTGACGTGTTTGTCGTCGGAAAAATTTAGGTGTTGACACCGCCCCCCCCCTCAGTTAAGAAAGTCACGCTACGCCTTTACGAATATTATGCTGCATTAGCCAGAGAAAATCATTATTTACTGACGTTTACACACAAAGTATTCGAAACTTGAGGTACCATTTTATAGTATGTATTTGCATGAACAGTATGTAGCGTTTTGGTTTGATATATTACTCTTTAGTAACTGATTTGAGCATACTTTTGTTTATAAAGTGTTCGTTGTTGTGGTAGAGATACTGTAAGTTTCAAAATACCGTAATTCATAAGTCAAGGATTATCGAATTCACTTCGGCATTAGAGTACAAAGATCAATTTTCGCAATATTATACAACTCACGATTGAAGCTCTTTGAAGAGGTAGTACTGACTCTAATAGAGCAGTCGGAAATTTTACACATCGGGACATATTATAGTTACTAATGGTTGTGCCAAGTCGATATGCGTTTCGAAACTTACAGTCAATAAAAGCCATGCAATTGTTCACTTGTCGGCGATGATGAATCAACCTTGAGAAGATATGTCTGTCTTCGCTTTAAAATGACACAAACCAAAAATAAAACGACGCAAAAAACTTCGCATTTATTACTATTCTACTTATAGCGATATAGAATAACGATACTTCTATAGAGATTGAATAATAATAAACATGCAAAGAGATTCGCCTTGGTTCCTGACACCAAACTTAAACTCTATCATAGCTATCCTATTCTTAATAAATCCCCAGGTGCTAGAAATTGTTGAATTTCCACAACGTTTAGGAACCCATCGTTTCGAAAAATATGACGTGGAGAAAACGCACGGATTCAGTCGACTATAATAAAGCATGTCAAAGACTTAAGACGATATCGCTGACCTTACAGTGAAATTTTCATTCAGAAGATAGATAAGCAATTAATATCATTAGGTCATTAGGAACTGCCGTGAGTCGAAGAAATTCTCAAATTTTTGGAACTAGAGTGCATGGATATTTAGAATATTTAAAAGTAGCGTTGTTAGTGTCAGGTTATTGAAGAGAAATCCGGATATCAACAAGTTTCACATGACATTGCTCTTTGTGAGTTGATTGAATGTTTCAGTTGACTACGTGTCTCAGGAGATGGCGTGTGAAAAGGGCGTGTGCTGATTGGTTCTTTGCCGGTCTGGAATCCCTCAGTATTAGACCGTTGCCGTAGTAACGGTCCAACTCTCATACAGTGAGTGAACTCTCGTATTTCTGAACAAAAACAAGCTTGCACTTTTATTTTTGAAACGAAAAATATCGACGGAGAATGGACGAAGAAGAGCATTATTTAGTACATGTGAATATTATATTTATTCATCTTTGACTTTAGTGTTTATATTACTGTATCATTCTTATTTAACGAGTAATAAACAAAGTTTTGGAAGCCACTTCAGTGCTTGCTTGGCGACTGGCTGGCGAAAGAGCCGGCAAGAATGCTGCAGCGCATTGTATAAATAAAAAAACTAAATATTGTATGACATATAATAAATCCCTTATTACCCGAATACGTTCGGTCCGTACAGGAAAAATATCAGACCTCGGTCTTTTATGTACGGACCTCGCTATCGCTCGGTCCGTGCTGTTAAGACCTCGGTCTGATATTTTTCTAGTACGGACTTCAAATTCGGTTAACAAGTGGTATATATGTACTTTAGAAATGACAGAAAAAACTTCCGAACCGCGGAAAATTTCGCTTAGTTTTTGAGCGGATTAGGACCCTGGCACGGCGCTTACTCGCTCAGTGATTATTGTACTTTATTATGTACACATACAGCCCAAAAATAAGCGTGCGACATCAATGTTTATGTTCCTATATAACGCTAAGGAAAGCAACTTCCGCAAGAGCTTACGAATTAACCATGTAAAAGAGAAAGGCAAAAATATCAATAGAGTCTAGTAGAAACATATGGGGCGTTTTCCTTTATACCGTTAAAACAGCTAGACCGGCACTATTGTATTATAGTACAAATAGATTACTACATGTATTCTAGAGGGTTTAAAGAAATCTGCATTCAAGTTAATCGTTATTTACATCTGTCTGACACAGGAAATGCAGTCAGTTTACCGCTTTATTTTTAACGAAATATACTCTGTTTTAATTCAAAATATGACCAGTCCTCCATTTTGGCCACATAAAGGGAAACGCCCTTGGCAAAAATATTAAAATACAAAACAATTAATTTTCTTAACCACTGATGAAAAAAGCTTTCATGCAGGTAGTTAAAGGGTCAAGGGAAAGTTACGGCATTTTACGTATATGACGTAAGTTATCTTGTCCCCCACCGGGATGCCAGAGGTTAAGGTCACGCCATTGTTTTTATATAATATAGTATAGCGAAAATCACTTTCAATCACTTTCATGTATTAGTGAAAAACTGACGTGGGCCACAACCTCTGGCATCCAGGTGTGAGGCCAAAATATTCACGGCAAATACGTATTTCAATTTTTTTTCGTCAGAAGGTCAGGGAACTTATCATCTTCTAGGTCTTAGCAGAGCCCATACCTTAACATTAGTCATAAACATTGATGGCACACGCTTATTCTTGGGCTGCTAATGTTATATTTTAATATCTTTTAGCATATCTCATGTATGGCACAGGCATCGGTTTTACGAACTAGTGCATCAGTATTTGGTGGTTTATTTGCGATCACTGTTGCCACGGACAATGTAGAAGTAGCAAAGGAAGTGTGTGGAACAGCGAAAACGCTAGGACAAGGACTGGGACAAGGACTAGGAGTAGGACTGGGAATAGGATTAGGTCTGGGAGCTGTGTATGTGGCTTATAATTCATTAAAACCAATAATCGAAGGTGCAGTTAAAAAAGGTGTTGGTGGCGAACGCGATGACCAGGACGTTCGGAACATTCGACCTGGATGTTTGCATTTTGAGTTACATTGTTTCACAGACGAAAGATTTCTGGAAGTCTTGGCGGATTACGAATCAGGAAGGATGAAGGAACGCTTGCAGGAAGAACTTTCTCTGGTTGGAATTAAAGTGGAAGGACTGAAGGTGAAGATTGAAAACATGGAGGAGGTGAATGAGACAAGGGACGCCATAAAAACGAGGTATATAATTGACCAAAAAACGAATTGACTAACTTTGCCGGTGCGAGTTAGAAAGTACGATTACGTGCGACATACCAGTCGCGAGACAAGCAGACCAATCATGCAGCTCATTCATTAGTCTCATTTCGTGTCCCGCTTCGCCGAGCCAACTTGTCAAAAAGCGATTACAGTTGTGGGCAATTTATGTCTCGTCTAAGCAAGTTGACTCGCAATCTGTTAATACTTAGGTTAAACATTTAAGAAGCGGGTAACTCAGCAAAGCGGTCGAACTCGTTTAGCCGGCTCAACTCGCCTCATGTAATCGACCTCTAAATTTATTTGCGAGACTGCAATATGAAACATAACATATATACTTCCGGGCTACCTATGGTCGGGTAGAACATTTTCTCCAAGGTTTTTTAAATTTCTCTGACATATCAGAAAAGTAGACATTTTCTAAATGTCTTCTATGGGAGTACGCGTAGGAATCGTAAAAGAAATCTTTAGTTTCAGCAGTTGGTAAGAAAAAGTTTTAGTTCTTCGGACACATCCCACATATTTGTGAACAAACGTCTAAATCCTCGTCTTTGGGAATTGTAGCACGAGCTGTTTTTTATTTGTCACAAGAAACTGCGGTTTGAAATTTTGAACCATCCAAGTAACAAATTTTTGTCACCGCGATGTGTTTACACGGCATTTTTCTTTCTCGTTTCGCGTGCCACAAAATCCTAAAGGCGCCCAATATAATACTTTTGGCACCCATAACCAATTGAACATAACGAAAAAGATGGTAGCATGTACATTTCACCACAATGCATTACGAGCATCAAGCATAAATGACTAACAAAGCATGCGAAAAAAATCACCTAATGATATGAAACTTTAAAACAACAAAGAAAATAACCTCCTTTCTTACATCTGTCCTTCAAAAAACTTCAAACTTCGCTTTTTAAAACGATTTCCGACCGCAATGCACTCTGGTAAAAAGTACATTCGCCATCATTTTTTTGTTGTCGTCAATTGCCGTTAATATATATAAGTCAGCCGTGCACTACCATTCTGCCAGAGAATGGCAGGAAACTTAAATGGCGGGTATTAACAAAGCAGAGATGCAACAATTAAATCAAATCAACATGACTTGGTTGAGGAAAAGAGGAAATTGGACACAATTGTTTAGGTCATCGAGTAATCCTGCCATAAATGCGTTGTTAAAAAACCGAATCTTTTTGTTTCTTTCAGTTTCGGTGTTTTGCTTATCATAACGTATTGAATGACTTCATACCCCCAAGTTTCTATTAAATTCTTCGTTTTCACGTCCGACCATTGCTTTCCCCTACTTGTTTTCACTTTCATTTCGCAGTAATTTTTAATCTGCGCATGATCAACAATAAAAATTGCTGCTGCAACTCTGTTTTTTGGTACGGTGCCATGTTTCAAAATTACTGGCCTGCCCGCTAGTAGTTATTATGTCTGTTTACACGGCAAAATTTAAAAATCGCCGCGCTATTTTTTGTTTTAAAGTACCTTTACAATGTTTAAATACACCCGGTATAAATAACTTTGAGAAAACGACTGCCATAATCTTAAGTGCTTCCGGAAGTCAAGTCCGTGTGTAAACAAACGCTTGTAAAACTAAATTTTGAACATCATACTCTTTATACTATCTAACACTATTTAGGTTCGTTACGTTACGAATCGTTGCAAATTTTGTCAATTTTTAAATTAAAGTGCGCTCACATATTGTGAGCAGAACCGATGCGCGGGCTATTACATCCACGTTAAATTGACAGTTAAGCAGATTCTCGGTTACTATACGAGGTAGCTTGAATTAACAATAACGCAATAATTTTCTTAATAGAGAATTATACTGTTCGAAGTATAGTACTATATAGTCGATATTGTAAATCTTTATTCTATTCTATTCACAATATACGCAGGTCCCGGACAAAGAATATTTCTGTTAGCGACATCGAAAATCTTGTTATTAGTGATGTGGAGAATGACAATAAAGATAAGGAGGTAGGCAAATTTTAGCTGGTTAAATTTTGCGAATGCGTTTTTAAAACCGATGAATGTGTTAAAAATTTCTTGTCGCTTTGATCCCAAGGTATGAACCGAATTTCGAGTTTGATGAGAACATTCGTATGACACACTAAAACAAGGCCGGAGCTAGAAGTTTAATTCGGGGGAGGTGAAATTTATATATTAATGTTCAAGTACACGTGAAACAATCGCTATCAAGAGAAATCGGTGAGGCATAAGACGAACATAAGAATATCCTCCCCACCCCCAATTAGCTTCTAGCTACGGCCTAAAAAAGGAAAATTACAAATAACTCTCATAAGGACAATTAACTTCCTAGGCTAAAGTACAAACAGAAATTGTTAACCGCGGTTCAGTACTGGAATCTAAACAAAAAGCTCCTGAAATTAGCGTAAAGCAATATGGAGAAGATCATCCCGACACAGCTAGCAGTTATGAAAATATTGGATACGAACAAAATGAGATGAAAGATTTCAAGTCAGCGTTAGTTTCGTATAAAAAAGCTCTTCACATCAGATTGAAACTTCATGGAGAAGATCATCCCGACACAGCTAGCAGTTATAACAATATTGGATGTACACAAAATAAGATGAAAGATTTCAAGTCAGCATTGGCTTCGCATCAGAAAGCTCTTCAAATCACATTAAAACTATATGGAGAAGATCATCCCGACACAGCTACCGTTTATAACAACATTGGATACACACACGACAAAATGAAAGATTATAATTCAGCATTAAACACCTATCAAAAAGCACTTGAAATCAGATTAAAAGTATGCGGAAAAGTTCATCCTGACACAGCTGACAGCTATAATAACATTGGATGCACACGATACAACATGAAACATTTTATATCAGCATTGCATTTGCACCAAAAAGCTCTTGAAATCAAATTAAAACTATGTGGAGAAGATCATCCTAGCGTAGCTGACAGCTACGACAGTATTGGGACCACACAGCGCGCGATGAGACATTACAAATCATCATTAGAGTCCGAAAAAAAAGCTCTCGCAATCAGGTTAAAATTATCTAGAGAAAATAATCGTGAGACAGATGACAGTTATCATGCTATTGGAGCCAGGCAACATGGGATGAAAGAGTATCAGGCAGCGTGGGGTCAAAAAGCTCTTCGAGTCAAATTTCAACTACATGGAAAGGAACATCCTGACACAGCTGACAGTTATAACGGCATTGGAATCACACAACATGCGATAAAAGATTACAAATTCGCATTAGAATCGAAACAAAAAGGTCTTGAAATCAGATTGAAACTACTTGGAGAAGATCATCCTGACACAGCTGACAGTTATAACGGCATTGGAATCACACAACATGAGATAAAAGATTACAAATCAGCATTAGAATCGAAACAAAAAGCTCTTGAAATCAGGTTGAAACTATTTGGAGAAGATCATCCCGATACAGCTGACAGTTATAACACGATTGGAGTCACAAAACATGAGATAAAAGATTATAAATCAGCATTAGAATTCAAACAAAAAGCTTTCGAAATCAGATTGAAACTATGTGGAGAAGATCATCCTGACACAGCTGACAGTTTTAACAGCATGGGAGTTACACAAAATAAGATGAAAGACTACAAGACAGCATTACATTCGCACCAAAAAGCTTTCGAAATCAGATTAAAACTATTTGGAGAAAATCATCCTGAGACAGCTGACAGTTATTACCGCACGGGAATAATACACCAAAGGATGAAAAATTACAAGTTAGCATTAGAATCGTACCAAAAAGCTCTTGAAATCAGACAAAAACTATTTGGAGAGCAGCATCCTGACACCGTAGAAATAAATCAGGCAATTGGTGTTACACAACGTTCAGTTAAGGACCTTAATGTAGTATTGGACGCACACAAAGATATCGCATTAGCAGACTGAAACTGTATGTTTAATATTACAAGTCTGCATTAGACTCGCACGAACAGGCTCTAAACCTAAATTTACCCACCACGTGCAAGACCTTTTGAGTAATAAGGCAAGCACTGGACAGATACAAAAAGCCGCCATTTTGAAGAAGAGAATATGAAGATTCTAGAAAATTTCAGCTGAACATTAGGTTTCCTAAAGTTTCAGAAAGGTAAACGAAGATTTGATGACGAAAGAGTTAACGAAGTCAAAGATGAAATATACAAGTATCACACTTATAATCAGTTAAATTAGGGCCAACAAATATGTGGTAATAATCTTATTTCTATTGCTTTAGATATTGTAGTACTGATCAAATCAAAACTCTTATATGAATGCATGCATATTGAAATTCGGAGAAAAAGAGGGGCGTACGAAAAACTCAACAGTCTCAAGCATTTAGCAATGGGCAACTAACCCCTGCTATGAGTCCAATCACGAGAGAGTCCAATCACGCATTCTCTTGTTGGAAAGACAAGAAACATTGCAACGCATATTTACACTAAATGAGATTTGTATTTTTTCAAGGTGGTAAGCGTTGATACTGACACGATGTACTCGCAACCTTTTGTACATTTAACAAATGTTATAACGTCTTCCACGTCTTCAATCAGTCCTATGTAAAGGCCATTAGTTTAGAGTAGCTTTGTTTTATGCATTCGTTGGCGATAGCAGCCTCCATATAAGTATATCTATATTAAGAACTTCTGTGAGCTAAATATATACAAAACATGGGAATTAAGCAACGATAAATGAGAAACGATGTGTAGTTATGATGTGGTTAAATCATTAAAACCCAAGACCAAATTTCATGCATATCACGCCTAAAGAAAGACTACCCACTCTCCATAAAATATCTTACACAGATTTTGTTACACAATGCATAGATTATAAGCTTGCGCATGCGTCGCTGCATGATCTCAAATTTAGGTCCATGCACACAGAGAATATAATTTGAATTTGTGTGCCTGGTTACGCGATGATCAGAACGTTCAAAATAAAATGGGGCAAAATCTTGTAGAGAAGATAATCAGAACATTTAACAAAAAGTAAAATGGACTTTTTAGCCTCGTTTATACACTACACTGAATTTATCGCCGCAGCACCCGTACCAATTTCACCCGTAACAATTTCATCCGTGCTCAGCCTCGGTATTGGTATTCCGCTATGATCGTATTTTATATAATGTAGTTGCACATATTTGATGAATTTTATAGAGGGTTCGGTAATCGCATGAAAAATCCTGAAAAAAGGGAGACCACTTACTGCCATTTGGTGACAGAGTACTCGAAACTGGTGCCCAATGTAAAAACTGGTTCAAAACATGCTGATCCCAGTCCCTTTGTTGCTCCCTTTGTTGCGTGATACCTGTGGAGCTATAGTGTCCTTCTTGGGCATGGTGCCCTTTTCCACTTTGAAGCCTCATTAGAGGGGAAATGGCACTCGTTCTTTGGCACTTTAATTCTAATTTCGCGCATTATACAATTACTTAACGGTTTCCGCGTTTGGATGGCCTGATCCAAACACGGGCTTCGACCAATCAGAACACGCGTTATATACATGTTATTTTATAATAATATTTATTTAACTAACTAAAATTAATTACTATTAGGTACTAATACTAATTATTATTGCAACGCATAATTTATGCAATTCATGATAAACCCTTCTCCCATACTGAAACTTTTTTCAAAGGAAATTTCCCTTGACTGTGGAAACTCTGCCAAGAGCAATTTTGAAGAAACATTTTGTTCAGGTGAAAACGCGATAAATGATTTTGACAGCTAATCATATCAGGCTATAGAAAACCACATGGTATTCGGACATTGCTGGACTTTCTCAACTTTCCGTTCTAATGAACAGTACTTTTGAATAGCTCTGAATTGGACGATCGTATAGATCGTTGGCAGCAACTGGTATCATTTTTTAATTTTTACAAAACTATATTGCCAGAACCAAACATTTCAGTCAAGCTGATGGCGTAATATGATGATTTCTATGAAAATTTTTGAGATCAACGATGATGTATACAGGGTATCTAAAAAAACTAAAAATGATTGAAATCATCCATAACAATTTTATAGTTAGAGTTTAAAATTCTAAGCACCGTTTGGGAGACACTCACTCAGCCACTAGTGTATTAATATTTGGCATAAGCCATTTTATGCTGATAGTAAAATTTGTTTGTACCCACAAATGAATCATTAACAATATTATTCACTTTACGAATATGGATAACAATATTTAAATTTACAACACAAACACCATGACCTTCAACATGCCCCTTCTTTCTGGCAATTCATTGTATTTCGCATTTTCTAAATCAATTTATAAATTTAGCATTTTAATCAAATTAATCTAATTAAATTCAATCAAATCATTTTAATTAAATTAATCTTCACGGTGAAAATTCGCGAATATTCATTTAAATGTTTATAAATTATACCAAGAGGTGATTTCAATGGTTTTGGGGTTTTTTGAGAACCCTGTATTTCGTCCTTGCCAGTCTTTATTTTAGGCTAGGCTATAGTTATATCTAAGAAAACCTTGTTAACATCAACAATAGAATATTGCTCTAGCGTAATGCAGCACTGTGGGAGTGGAGCGCGTGCGAGGGTACTAATTCCGGTCGGACATTAGGAATTACACCCGGAACCCGAGAGAGCATAGCTGAAGCCAAAGTTGTCGAAATTCTATGTCATGGACGGTCGACGTTGGACCGTTTTGTCAGTTATGCGCATGCGCGACTAACGACTGGTAATAAAAAACGTTCGTTCTGATTGGCTAAGACAGAGAGTTTGCATTTCAATGAGAACGTTAGCAATTTAACTGTCATTTCGTATAAACTCTTTTGTGATTAAAAGCGTTTCATAAACTTTGTGCAAAATAAAACGAGAAGAAACAAGATAAAGAATGACAAATAACTAAGAAGAAATTGATACAGTTCAAGACAAAGCGGTGTAAGAGCAATAATTCATAATCTACAAGCTTATAAGTGCTTTAAAAAGGTACGTGTTTACTTTTTTATTACTTGTTTACTTTTTATTTTATTTGGGTGCCTCAAAGAATGTATGCCTGTTGACATGACATTTGTATATTTATAAAACAATGAAAGTGCATGCATCACTGCATATTATTGAGAAGCAACAATTATTCTGGCATCTTCCAAGTACAGCGACGTCGTAATTGTGCCGGACTAGAAAGTGTATCAGGCACGGATTTGTTCAACGTTTTTATCCTAATTTTATTGCTTAAAGTAAGACAACTTTCCTTATGCATTCACTGATTATGTTAAATGCATAAAAAGTGGTTTTCAGCTCGCTACAATTATACGCATATACTCCAATATGTCGTGGCGGATGTTGTAGAAGTAGAGCAGTTATTTTCACGCTGGATTTTCTAACATACGACAAGATGCTAAAATTCCTTAGTCCTGTTAAATATAAAGACTAATTACTTTGCTATGGCTGCGTTAATTCATCGTCTAACGAGTGATTAATATAGCATTTTACTTCTATAGAATAGCGATTTCTTCGTAATTCTCATAACTCCTGAATGGAAAAAGCATTATCCGAAGGTGGGAAGGTTCTACGAGCTGGTATAACACTCTTTGGCGGGATATTTTTGATCGGTGTTTCCACTGACAATGTGGAAGTAGCTAAAACACTGGGAATAGGACTTGGAATAGGACTAGGTCTGGGAACTGTGTATGTTGGTTATAATTCATTAAAACCAATAATCGAGGGTGCAGTTAAAAAAAGTGTTGGTGGCGAACGCGATGATCAGGACGTTCGTGACATTCGACCAGGATCTTTGCATTTTGAGTTACACTGTTTCACAGACGAAAGGTTTCTGGAAGTCTTGGCGGATTACGAATCAGGAAAGATGAAGGAACGCTTGCACGAAGAACTGTCGCTGGTTGGAATTAAAGTTGAAGGACTGAAGGTGAAGATTGAGAACATGGAGGAGGTGAATGAGACAAGGGACGCCATAAAAACGAGGTATGCATGTAATCGACCAAAAAACGGGTTGACTCACTTTGCCGGTGCGAGTAAGAAAGTACGATTGCGTGCGACATGCCAGTCGCGGGGTAAGCAGACCTATCATGCAGCTTATTCGTTAGTCTCATTTTGTGTCCCGCTTCGCCGAGCCAACTTGTCAAAAAGCGATTACAGACGAGACAACTCGCTCGCTTCCCAAGTAATCCAAATATTAATAATTATCTGGGTTGAACATTTAAGAAGCGGATCACTCAGCAAAGCGGTCCAACTCGTTTAGCCGGGTCTACTCGCCTCATGTAATTGACCCCTAAATTCATTTGCGAGATTTCAATATAAAACAGAGCATATATACTCCTGGGCTACCTAAGGTGGGATAGAACATTTTTTCAAAGGTTTTTTAAATTTCTCTGACATATCAGAAAAGTAGACATTTGTCTTCATCTGTCTGTAATGGGAGTACGCGTACGAATCGTAAAATAAATCTTTAGTTTCAGGAGTTTGTAAGAAATTATTTAGTTCTTCGGGCACATCCCACATATTTGTGATCAAACGTCAAAATATTTCCTCGTCTTTGGGGAGTGTAGCACGAGCGGTTTTTTACTTCAAATATTCGAATTCGTCACAACAATTAACTAATGAGCTAGAAGTCACAAGAAATTACGATTTGAAATTTTGAACCATCCAAGTAACAAATCTTTAGTGCATTCCCTGATAGAACCATATTACACCGTGTCATTTTTATAATAATGCAAATTGCAATACAATTCAGTGTATTTTTGATTGATGTATAATTGGCAACTGCGGATGTTTTGACTTTTCAGTAATTAACATTTCGTAGTGTAGCTTCACTGGGACAGAAATTCAATGTCAACGAGTTCCCAATAAATCTACAGGGTAGACGTGGTGCGTAGAATGAAACGAACTCGACGTAGGAATTTCGATAATTTATTGACAGGATATATACAGGTTTGGGTCGAAGAGGTCGATTGAGAATATTGCATCGTTTCGAACTAAAATATGATAAGCAGACAAACTATAGTAACCTATCACATGAAATTAATACGAGTATACTTGGTAATTGACATAAATGGGATATACTTATTAAACTAATAATTAGCATGCAATGCAATATAACTACTAAAACCTTTGCTATGTTATTGTTCCTATATAACAAAACACTTAATCTACACTACCTCGGGAAATAGTGAGTTTTGTTTTCCCTCGAGTCTCAATGTTTCCCTCGACCTCGTCTCGGGAAACATTAAGACTCTTGGGAAAACAAAACTCACTATTTCCCTCGGGAGCATACATTAAATGTATAATATCCGCCATCTTGTTTTATAATGAGATCTAATTACGTGACGTCAATCAGGGTTAACGCTTAAAAAATAACAGCTACATGTTTACACTTTTGTTTAGAACTCTAACAATTTAAACGCTATAATTTGAGATTCATGACGTTCTTTTAAAATAGACGAAGATAATTTTTATTACCGCATCCCTTTAATGCACTAAAAGTCTTTGTTTAAGGTTATTCACATTCGATTTTGCAGATGAAGTTAATATTGTGTTTTTGTTGTGTGTGGATGTTACACAGTCGCGACTTATTAAAAAGCAACGACCAAATGGAACTGACCTAGATTAAAAACTAGGAAGGGATTGAAATTTCGAAAAATGCACAGAGAGAATGAGCACATGGGTTTCTTACAATATCCTTTTATGTACATTAATACAAGCATCGTTATTTTGTTGCAAAATACAGATCTTATTTAAAGAGGGTGCATGGCGAGATGACGAGCAATGTCATGAGGGAGCTTAGCGAGATGATGAGTGATATCAGTATGGATGCTGTTGATAGTGAGGGGTTAAAACATATTCAGGTAAATATATCTTTTGAAAAAGACAACAAAAAGGTAACAGATCTTTTTAACGCACAGTGCGCGATGGTAATTGATTATCTATATCTTTCTGAGTGCGATATCACTGCGTTCAAAAGCGATTTAGTTTATAAGGAAGTCTTGCCGATTTTTTCTCTTTGCTAAATTACGTCACTCCCGAACATGGGGTATCATAAAGTTTCCTATCCATCAAACAAAACAATGTAAACAACACGATAAAACCGAAAAAAAACTACGGCTTGAATTTCTGAAAAACCTTCTGTGAAAGGGTACGCGAATGAGCCAAAGTAAAAACATAATCAAATTTTTCTTTGCTCAGATTTTTTATGCCTATTTTTCACCCGCTAGAATCCCATCGATCTATTTGCGTAATTGAAGATACTTTGTTCTTTACAACATTATTTCACATTTTTATTGGCTTATGCTTGGTTTGTATATCCCTTTTAAGGAATTTTGCCAAAGTCGATTTATGAACTGGCTTGTTCAACTGCGTGGCAACCCACAAAATTGTCAGTTTTCCAATAAATTTGTTGTGTTTTGTTGAGCTAAGTCAATTAGCTCAAAGGTCGAGATAAATATACCGTACCTCGAATTTTTTCGATACTTTAGGCGCGGTATTTCCCATCCGGACCTTGGGCCTGGTAAATGACATTTATGTACGTACATTTGAAAATTTGTAGAGGGAATCAGATAATGCCGACACGGCTGAAAGTCTCTACGAAAATGGGGTCCGACGAGGCGAGATGAAAGTTTACAAGTCAACTTTAGAGTCGCATCATGAAGCTCTCAAAGTCAGTTTGGAACAACATGGAGAGGATCATCCTGCAACAGCTTACATTTACTACAACATTGGAATGACACAACAAAAGATGAAAGATTTCAAATCTGCATTGGAGTCGGAGATAAAGTCTCTTGCAATCAGAACCAAACTATTTGGAGATGACCATCAAGACACAGCTAACAGTTATCACAGCATTGGGGTCACACAACATAAAATGAAACATTACGAGCCAGCATTGGAATCAAAACAAAAAGCTTTTGAAATTAGATCACGGCTATATGGAGAAGACCATCCGGACACAGCTGACAGTTATTATAACATCAGAAAAACACAACATAAGATGAAAAATTACTCGTCAGCATTAGAGTCAAAAGAGAAAGCTCTTAAGGTCAGGTTGAAACTATTTGGAGAAAATCATCCTGCAACAGCTGACAGTTATAAGAGCATTGGAGACACACAAAATGAGTTGGAAGATTACACGTCAGCATTGGAGTCGAAACAAAAAGGTCTTGATATCAGATTAAAGCTATATGGAGAAGATCATCCTGACACAGCTGACAGTTACAACAACATAGCAATAACATATCATTCTATGGAAGATTACAAGTCCACATTAGCATCGCAAGAAAAAGCTCTTCACATCAGATTAAAGCTATATGGAGAAGATCATCCCGACACAGCTGACAGTTATAGGAGCATTGCAGGCACGCAAAGGTCCTTAGGAGATTCCAAGAAAGCATTGGAGTTAGGATTAAAGTCTCTTAAAATTACTTTAAAACTGTTTGGAGGATATCATTCTGACACGGCAGATAGCTACTTCAGCATTGGAATAACACAAGATAAAATGGGAGATTACAAGTGTGCGTTAGAGTCGCAGAAAAAAGCTCTTGAGATCAAATTAAAGCTATACGGAGAAGATCATCCTGAGACAATTGAAAATCATATCTTCATTGCAATGACACAGGGTGAGATGGGAGATTATAAATCAGCATTCGAGTCAGGAAATAAAGCACTTGAAATCGTAATAAAAAACATTGCGAGGAAGATGATCCACTCGCAACTTACATTTATAACTTTATTGGATTGATGGAAAACATGATGGGAGATTACACGTCAGCATTAAAATCGAATCAAGAAGCTCTTGAAATGAGATTGAAACTATATGGAGAAAATCATTCTGAGACTGCCCTCAGTTATGTCATGATTGGGGCGACACAGTATGCGATGGGAGATTACAAATCAGCATTAGCGTCCAATCATAAAGCTCTTCAAATAAGCATAAATCTTCATGGGGAGAATCATCCTGACACAGCTGACAGTTATCACAGAATTGGAGAAACACAACGCGAGTTGAAAGATTATGATTCAGCTTTAAAATCGCAGGAAAAAGCTCTTCAAATCAGATTAAAAATATTTGGTGAAGATCATCCTAAGATAGCTGCCAGTTATTATAAGATTGGAATTACATACTTTCAGATGAAAGATTACAAATCTGCATTAGAGGCGGAGGAAAAAGTTCTTAAGATCAAGTCAAAACAGGATGGAGAAGATCAATCCGACACAGCTAACCATCATTTGCACATTGGAATCCTACAATTTATGATGGGAGATCACCAGTTAGCATTAGAGTCGGGACAGAAATCGCTTAAGATCAGAAAAGAACATAACGAATATCATTCTGATACAGCTAATAATTATGAATTCATTGGAACCATACAAAAAGAGATGAAAGATTACAAGTCAGCATTAGAGTCAGAAGAAGAAGCCCTTAAAATCAGATCATACCTGTATGGAGAATACGACGACGCGACAGCCAGGAGTTATCACAACATTAGAGTTGTTCAGGATTGGATGGAAAATTACCATTTAGCATTGAAATCAAAATTAAAAGGTCTTAAAATCCGAGAAAAACTACACGGAGAAAATCATCCCGATACGGACAAGAGGACCACATATGATGGGAGATTACGAGTTAGCATTGAAGGCAGAACAAAAAGCTCTTGAAATCCGAGAAAAGAGAGGTGGGGAAGATTGCTCTGACACATCTATTAGCTAATCATGTCAATCGCAATTATAAAACATAAAATGGGAGAATATAAGTCAGCATTAAATTCAGGAAATAAAGCTCTTGTTACTAGATTAAAAAATGAAAAAGGTGATCCTATCACAGCTGACATATTTATAACTTCATTGGAATCGTACAAAGAGATATGGAAGATTATATGTCGCCATCAGTGTCCGAAGAAAAAGCTCTGGAAATAAAATTAAAATGTGAAGACGATTCCGACACAGCTTTCAGCTATCACATGATTGGGAAGACAAAACGTGAAATGGGAGAGTACAGCCTCGCATTACAGTCGGATAAAAAAGGTCTTGAAATTCGATTAAAACTATATGGAGAATATCACCCTTGCATAGCTGACAGTTATAGCCGTATGGCAATCACACAGCTTGCGATGGGAGATTACAAGTCGGCATTAGGTTCGAAGAAAAAAGATCTTGAGATCAGATTGAAGCTATCTGGGAAAGATGATCCTGACATAGATGAGATTTATGCGAGGCTTTTGAGCCTGGAAGATGAGATAGAAGATTTCAAATTAGAATTGGTCGCGAAAGTTCTTCAAGAAATACTTGAAGAAGATCACTCTGATACGACTGAAGCGTTTCTGAAGCACTGGAATTACACAACACGAGATAAAGGAACTCCACTCAGCATTATAGGTTATTGAGCTAAAAATGGAATAAAAGCCCAGTTGGGAATTTGAGCATAATTAAAATTAATACTACATAGAATTAATCAGGCAGCAGCGTGGAAGCGCATATAATATCTATATATATATTTAGAATACGGTAGTAGATTACTGGTCTAGTTACTATATCCGTTGCTAGTTAGCAGGTAGCTCTAGTCTACTAGCTTTAGTAGCAGCTAATATATTGTAGTAGCATCTGATGATTGAAGATAATTTAATTTTTTTTCAAGGAACTATAGTTTAAATTTATTTAGGTCAAGAAAAGTTAAGAAAAGCTCGTTAAATCACTCGCCTTCGGCTCGTTTCGCGAGGTTTTTTTAACCCTCGCATGCAACATATCCCGCGTGTTTAGATCAGGCCATTCAAAACACGGGAACCATTACGTAGTTGTTGATTACCACATGGCACGAGGATGATATAATCATTAGAGACGATATATTTATATATTTTTTTATAGATATTAATCATCTCAAACCTAATTTACAATTACTTTCAAATGTGAAACACTTATATAACGCAATAATAGTAATACTTCTGCGTTCAAATTCAGTATCCTTTTTGTATATAAAGAGTTACGTCATTTATTGTTATTCATCCGGGGCCGGTTGTATAAAAACGTCGTTAACTCTAACTATGATTAGCGCTAATCCGGCACTGTTGTAAAATCCAACTATGCACGACTTAACTGCGTTGCACAAAACGTAGTTGGTTGGACGATTAACTTAATCATGTAGTTAACTTGCGTGGAGCTTGCGTGGGGTTGTTTAACAGAGAAATGGCATGAAGTATTTCACTATTATTGACCGCTGCTGTAGATTTTGAACTAGACCGAGGACTCGTATTCACAAAAATTGGCAATGAGTATTTTGATCGAAAATATTTGAAAAATGCAATAAATAAAGAGAAAAGTTCAAAAAACACCCAAATAATTCAACGAAAAAGGCGCTCTTAATATAAAAGGTTCTTTTGAGTCAACGAAGTCTTCCGAAGCAAAAATATACTCTGTTGCTGCCCAAATGACAAAAATAAAAGCATATTGAAAGTTTACAAACTTTAACGCGGCCTTTTCTAAGTGGACAACGTTAACAGTTGAAAACCTTGGTATGTGTTGATTTTAATTTTTTTCTCGCTCCACAAAAATTCATCCCGCTATTACCATTGATATTTCCCCCCTCGCCTCAAACGAAGACATTATACTATCATTGTGAACGAAAGACCAACCAGCAATGCATCTCCCCTGACGCAAGCTGCAGGCCGCATGTTGGACCCATGTTTGTCAGAAATGATAAATAGCCTATTCCTCTTAATTTTTCATATAAAGGTAAGCGTTAAACTGGATTTCCACTTGCAGAGAAGGGCTTTCTGAGCCTGGCCTAGACTAGACTTTTTAGTACGGAGCGTTTACACTTACACTTTGACAGCCTGAACTTGGCCTAGAGTTACAGCGGTTTGCATATCACAACCTTTTTACGTTATGTAACTAACTAGAACTTCGTACCCAGTTCGTACCGAGCGTTGCCATAGAAGTAAGGCAAAGGTCCACATCGAAGTGTTTACACTACCGTAAACCCAGGCTTAGGCCTGGCCTAGGCCGCCTGTTATGATGGGCCTAGATTTCCTGGTCTAGGCATGAACCCGGTTACCCAAGATTCAACGAAGCGTGAGAGGTCTTTGAGGCATTGAAATAAGTCTTTATGACACCAAACAAGCACATGCTATTGTTGGTGTGATTACACGTCTGCTAGGATCATGTTATCTGCTCATTTCAATACCTCAAAATCATCTCACGCTTCGTTGAATCTCGGGTAACCGTGCTCATATAAACAACCCCTGAACCTTATATAATCACATTTGAAAAAGCCAGGAAAATAAATCGAAAAAACTTAGTTTCGAGCATATTTTAGTATATTAAAGTTTTCCGCGCGCAAAAAACGCCACAGTGGAAAGCAGTCCGAAATAGTTTGCTATATATTCTTTTTAAATGAGAACACTCAAGATGAACCTTTTTGGCGCGAAACGTGTTTAATTGAAAAAATCTTAATTGGCCATTTTCGGGAATACGATGTTTGACCTGAATTACCTTCATATAATGATGAATTTGCTTTCCTAAAATTTGAAATATACACTCTTTATGAAGTGCATCAATGGTTCTGAAGTTTCGAACTTGGTCTTACTTCGTTTTTTTTACAAAAAACGCCACTTTAACGCGAAACGTGAAAAAATATGTGATGTATATTTGCATAGTTGACTATAGAGAAAATCCAATCTCTCCATAGATTTGCCTATATTCTTGTAAATATTTGGATATTATATGCCTGGATTTAAACTTGGTTTACGATCGCGCCTGTGTCATTTTAATACTTCGAAGATTCGAGCAAGAATAGCTTTCACCTGCAAGCTTGCAACCAAAACCTATTCATGATCATGGTGTCCCTTTTTAAACCTGGTTGTCTGGACATTAAGACAGAAATGCTAGCAAAAAAGAATTGATTCTTGCAAGTTTCATAAGCAAATTTCACAACACCAAATATTAAATTTGTTCACACCCACAACGTCTTACCCCTGTGTATTTCTATACATGATATAAAATAATTTCTCTCATTGTAAGTCGTCTGCCATATGGTAATTTCTCCAAAAAAGAAAACAATTACTAAGTTACGTATTCATGAACGCAAGACCGACTCACAATGCAACTCCTCTCACGCAAGCGGCGAAGGCGAAATGAAATCACATTTGACTAAACTAGTGGGATTTCTTCATCAAGGTAAGCCTTATTCTGATACTATATCATTTGTGATACTATATTTTATGAATTATGATTCAAGATAATACATTTCTTTCTTTTAGCAGTCCCTGTTTAGCCATGCATTAAAACTCAAGGTATATATTGGTTTCGTGTTCATCGCGATTGGACTGCATCATATTCGACAATATTGACTTAGCTTGTCGTGGTATGTATGTAGACTATAGTACTGTATTTCTTTAACTGAAAATACGAAATAGGAATTAGAATTAAACAATAGTAGCTAAATAAGAAAAGCTCTGTGTAAATAACAGAGGCAATTTTCGAGCAATTAAAATGAATGCATAAGAAACATTTCTTATAAGACATCGAGTGAATTTTAGTTAAAATTAAAAGAACTATACTTGCGGTGATATAGTAGCTATAGCTGAAAATGAGTGTTTCGAACATGAAGTCTTACTGTACATTTATGATTGTTTATTATTGTTGATAATTGAAGGCGCTATATCGAAATTAGCTTGTCTTGGTATGTATATTGTACTGTTATTCTATAACTGAAAATACAGAATACGAGTCAGAATAATTAACACTTATTTACTGCGAACGAAGGAAACATTATGTTTTGTGGACCCGAGACCTGTCGATATTTCACGAGGCGCAGTTTTCTGAGTTTTTGGTAAATTGGTTTTTTATTATATACCACGTCAAAGAAAAACCAAACTACAAGGTAAACAACGAAATATCTATTCATAAAAGACATAATTTCAATAAAAGTTGTTATTTCCCATGAGACAACATGCTATCTTACTCTGCAAGGGGTCGCGCTGGCGACATCAAAATTTCGTCACTCTCGCGTGATTCGCTCTCGACCAATGAGACGCTACGAAAACAAAACTTTGACAAGTGGTATATAATAATAGTATAAATATATATATATATATATATATAATATATATATATATATATTATAATATATAATATATAATATATATATTATATATATATATATATATATATATATATATAATAATATATAATATATATATATATATATATATATATATAATATATATATATATATATATATTACATATATATATATATATATATATATATATATATAATATATATATATATATATTAAAAATTTGTAATCCAGGCATATTTGTTTATCAATGAATGTTCTCGGATTTAAAATTGTTTTTTATTGAGCTTTCGACTCGGTACTTCGAGTCTTCTTCAGAATATCTAAATTATTTACATGTGTATAGCTTTATATATTTAAGTTTCGCGCTGTTCTTTAAGACTTTGTATACGTTGAGAGCGTCTGATTGGTTGTTTTGAAGTTGATCTGATATGAGTGGTAGTTGAGGGATGCGTTGTCATGGTTGACTGCATTTCGTTGTCAGGGATGGTCGCTGTGGAATGATTAGATTGTTGTGTATCAGATGCGGGTGGATTTAAGTTATTATTAGTTACATTAATGTGATTATTGATAGAGTCCTTACGTT